TTCAGGAGCAGGGCCGGGGCAGGGCCGGGGCAGTTCAGGAGCAGGGCCGGGGCAGGGCCAGGGCAGAGCCGGGGCAGGGCCAGGGCAGAGCCGGGCAGTGCAGGAGCAGGGCCGGGGCAGGGGCAGGGCAGAGCCGGGCCAGGGCCGGGGAAGTTCAGGGGCAGGGCCGGGGCAGGGCCGGGGCAGGGCCGGGGCAGAGCCGGGGCAGTTCAGGAGCAGGGCCGGGGCAGTGCAGAAGCAGGGCCGGGGCAGGGCCGGGGCAGTTCAGGAGCAGGGCCGGGGCAGGGCCGGGGCAGAGCCGGGGCAGTTCAGGAGCAGGGCCGGGGCAGGGCCTGGGCAGAGCCGGGCCAGGGCCAGGGCAGTTCAGGGGCAGGTCAGGAGCAGGGCTGGGGCAGTGCAGAAGCAGGGCCGGGGCAGTTCAGGAGCAGGGCCGAACGGGGCCTATAACGGGGCCGTACGGGGCCTATAACGGGGCCGTGCGGGGCCGATAACGGGGCCTGACGGGGCCTATAAGGGGGCCATACGGGGCCGTACGGGGCCTATAACGGGGCCTGACGGGGCCTATAACGGGGCCGCACGGGGCCGAGAACGGGGCCTTGCGGGGCCTATAACGGGGCCTGACGGGCCTTACGGGGCCTTAAACGGGGCCAAATGGGGCCTGACGGGGCCGTACTGGGCCTCTAACGGGGCCTGACGGGGCCGTACGGGGCCTCTAACGGGGCCTGTCGGGGCCTAACGGGGCCTTAAACGGGGCCGAACGGGGCCTGACGGGGCCTTACGGGGCCTTACGGTGCTAACGGGGCCTTACGGGGCCGTAATCCGCGCCCTAAACGGGGCCAAATGGGGCCTGACGGGGCCGTACGGGGCCTCTAACGGGGCCTGTTGGGGCCTAACGGGGCCTTAAACGGGGCTGAACGGGGCCTGACGGGGCCTTACGGGGCATAACGGGGCCTTACGGGGCCTTAATCCGCGCCCTAAACGGGGCCGAAAGGGGCCTTACGGGGCCTAACGAGGCCTTAAGGGGCCTTACAGGACGTGCGCAGGGGCCGTGACGGGCCTCGAAGGGAAGGTGCGAAACGCGCGTCGAGTAGGCAGTGACGAATTTCAGTGGTGGGCCCTTTTTAAAAAATTCTCGAAACTAGCTCTATACCATGTGAGAAGGATTTGACGAAAAGAATGATTGAATTAGGGAATGAGAAGGGTACAAGTAGGAAACACATAATTGTTGTACCCTCTAAGGACTACCCCACTACAGCCTAGACCGACTATAGTAAATATATGTTTGACAGTACTGGCCCTGGAGGTGCTAGTGCTGGTGTTCCTGGAGTTGGCCGTGCTGGAGGTACTGGTGCTGGAGGCACAGGTGCTACTAGAGGTACTGGAGGTGCTGCTGTTGTGGGTGCTGTTGCGGGTGGTCCTTTCTCACGTCGACAGGAGCCTCTCTCGCCGGAGCGGCTTCGCGAGTGGGCTGTCCGGTGGGGCAGCCCCGGTGGTGGGGCTGGACGTATTGGAGCTGCATGTACAGGAGGTACTGGCTCTAGAAGTGCTAGTGTTGGTGTTCCTGGAGTTGGAGGTACTGGAGGTGCTGACACTGGAGGTACTGACACTGGAGGTGGTGACACTGGAGGTGCTACTGGAGGTACTAGAGTTGGTGGTGCTAGTCGGCAGGAGTTGCTCTAGCCGCAACAGCTTCACAAGTGGGCTGTCCGTTGGGGCAGTCCCGGTGGTGGAGCTGGAGGTACTAGTTCTGGGGGTGCTGATCCAACTGGAGCTTGAGGTTTTGGGGGTATGACTACTCAGCCGCAGCCGCCTGCGCTTTGTCACCTTCTCAGTCTCCCGCCTGCTGCTGCTGAGTTCCCGGTTGCTGGTACTACTCCTCCGTTACTGTTCCCACCGACTGACCAGTCTCAGCCACAGCTACTGCCTGGCTCCCCGCTGCCTGCTCCTGCTACTCACACTGAGGTGACTGAGTCCCTGACTGAGCGTCGTGAGCCTAAGACTCGTGCTTCCACACCTGATCGTGCTCAACATGTTGCCTGTCCTCGTGCTCCAGCTGTGCCAGGTACTCACCGTATGGCACTTCGTCCTTCCTCTGTACCACAGCGTGTTGTCATGCCGTCACCTCCTACATCTTCTCTTCCTCACGTTCCTGACCCTGAGTCTGACCTTGTCCGTAGTGCCAGTCCGACTCTCACTCGTCTCCTTGCCATGGTTGTGACTTACCCTTCCTTTGAGTCTGCTGCTGTGTCTGCCTTAGTTGTTGAGCTCGTCGACTTTGCTGTTTTGTGCCGCCTTGATTACGCTGCGAGTCTTGTTTTTTCTATTCCTAACCTCTGTCCGTTGGGGGTGAGTTTGCCCTTGGCTGTGACGTCCTTGAGGACAGGCAGTTTGAGCTGGAGTGCCTAGCGGCCGCTGCACCTCATCTTCGCATCCACGCTACTTTGCCTTTAGGGAGACTTGGATGCACAAGACATCCCGACCCCGCGCTCTTACGCAGAGGCGATCACAGGTCCGTACTCCTCCCACTGGCAGATAGCCATGGACGCAGAGATGGCTTCCCGGAAGTCCACAGGCACCTACATCGACGAGGTTCCCCCACCTGGGGCGAACATAGTCGATGGCATGTGGATTTTCAGGGTGAAGCGGCCGCCGAGGTCTCCGCCTGCCTTCAAGGCGCGTTATGTTGCACGAGGCTTGAATCAGCTTGAGGGGGTCAACTTCTTCTAAACCTTCTCCCCCACCCCGAAGATGACCACTCTTTGGATGCTAGTGCACGTTGCAGCACAGCGCGACTACAAGCTGCACTCCCTCGACTTCCCGACAGCTTTCCTCCAGGGCTGCCTTCACAAGGCTATCTGGTTGCGCCACCCTCGTGGCTTCACTAGGTCGTTTCCTGAGGGTACTCAGTGGATTCTTCGGCGACCAGTCTACGGTCTGCGTCAGGCGCCCCGTGAGTGGCACGACACACTAAGGACTACACTTGCGGCTCTTGGCTTCGCTCCCTCGACTGCTGACCCTTCGCTGTTCACAGACACTTCTCTGCCACCGTTCTACGTTCTCGTGTACATAGACGACTTGGTTTTTGCTACTGCTGACACAGAGGCACTGGCCCTAGTGAAGGCGGAGCTGTAGAAGAGACACACGTGCACAAACCTGGGAGAGTTGCGGAACTATCTTGGCTTGCAGATTACTCGGGACAGACCACGGCGCACCATCACCCTGACTCAGTCACACATGGTGCAGCAGGTCCTTCAGCACTTCGACTTCTCGTGGTCCTCGCCACAGTCCACTCCTCTAGCTACAGGCCACTCGCTCTCAGCTCCACCTTCGGACGAGTCCGTAGAGCCGAGTGTTCCGTACCCAGAGCTTGTGGGTTGCCTCATGTACCTGATGACGTGCACACGACCTGACCTCGCGTGCCCTCTCAGCCTCCTGGCTCGCTACGTGGCTCCCGGTAAACATCGAAAGGTGCACTGGGATGCTGCGAAGAGGGTACTGCACTAGTTATGCAGTACATCGGGCATGGGGCTTGTGCTTGGAGGACAGGGTTCATTTTTTCTCACCGGTCACTCAGACGCTTCTTGGGTTGACGACCAGACGACTCACCGGTCGACACAGGGGTACAGCTTCAGCCTCGGCGCCGGTTCTGTCTCGTGGAGGTCCATGCGCTCGTCTTTTGTGCTTAGTCCCAGCTGTGAGGCCGAGATCTACGCTGGGGCTATGGCCGCACAAGAGCTCCGGTGGCGGACCTACCTGCTGACCAACTTGGGTGAGCGGCCTCGTTCTCCTCCAGTTCTGTACGTCGACAACAAGGCCATGATTGCCTTGTGTCAGGACTAGAGGCTGGAGCACAGAACGAAGCACATTGCTCTCCGTTACTTTCTCATGCGAGAGCTGCAGTAGTGTGGTCACCTTCATCTTGCTTACGTGGCCACACAGGCCAACACTGCTGATGTCTTCACCAAGGCCCTTGGGTCTAGTGATCATCAGCGTTTCTGCACTGCTCTTGGGCTTGTGCCCACTCTGCCTCACCTGCTTGTCTCTTGATATTGCCTTGCACTTGTTGTACTCTGATATATATGATTATACCTGCATGTTTGCACTTGCTAGGTTGTGATCAGTGTACTGCAATTGCTATAATAAACTTCGCATGTGAACTGGCCTTGTGGCCGCTTGCTTGTGCTCAGAATATGTGGTGATCTTGAGATCCACCCTCAGCTTTGCTTAGCCTTGTTCTCTTGCTTGACTGGTCTTGTGACCGTCCATTGTGTTTGCTATCCCCCACTTTGCCTATGGGGGTGTGTCAAATTATGTTTGTATGTCTCTAAGCTACAGTGGGGCATTCTCTAGTGAGTACAACCCTTTAGAGTTTCATACTTGTACTCATCTTCCTGCTCAATGCAACCATTCCTGCATAGTTGATTCTGACAAGGGCGATGGATGTGGCGATCACTGGAGTGAGCGGCAAGAGCGCGGCGGGGCCGAAGGTGAAACGCGCGAGTTTGGAGGACTTTTATGAAGAGGAGTGACACTCGGCAAAGCATGCGGCCGACGAGGCGATTTGCCTCTACTTCGCGCGGATGCGCATGGCAGAGCGTCAGTGCGATCAACCCCTCTTCATCAACATGTTTCTAGCCGTCGCCGCTGCCGGGAGCAGCTACGTCCCCACCAAGCGGGACCACGTAGGAGGCGTCGGACAGCTGGAGTAAAAGAAACGGATTGAGAAGGGGTTGGCGCATGTTACCAAGACGTGGAAGGAGACGGGCGTGACGATCTCCAGCGACACGATGATAGACACGAGCGGGCTCGCCTAGATGAACATTCAGTGCATCAACGAAACTGGTGATGTCTTCTCTGTAGCGGTTGACTGCCACATGGAGATGAAGAGTGGCGCGTACGTTGCCGGCATCCTGCTGACGATTATCCATAAGATCAGACCAGAGCACGTTGTCGCGCTTTGCATGGATGGCAGCAGCAACTACGCGTCTACTTGCAAGTTGATGCAGCTCGAGTGGCCGCATATCGAGGTCGTCCCCTGTGCTACCCACGTGCTGGACTTACTGGAGGAAGACATCGGCAAGACGGAGTGGGCGCATATAGTGGTTGATCGAGCGAACGCCATGATCACATTCCTCCGTATCCACCAGTGGACGCGCGCCTTCCTGCGGAGTCCCCAACTGCACGGCACTAAAGTGCTGCAGGCGTTGCGACCGGAGGGCAGTCGTTTTGGGTCACAGTACATCGCAGTGTATTGTCTTTGCGAGCTTTGCCCGTAGCTGATGCAGATGGTGGTGCACGACGATTGGAAGGCGAGGGGGAAGAAGGCGACAGCGGAGCAGTTCGAGGGATGGGTGATTGATGAGGTGTGGTGGAAGAAGGTAGCCTTCTTTGTGGAGGTTATGGAGCTGCCGGTGGCAAGGAAGACGGATTTGGTGGCAAAGGGGATGATTTTAGTGATCTACGACATCATGCTGCAGCTCATGGAGGAGTTGACGACGTTGCTGGAGGGTGAGGAGTGTTGCCGGAGTGAGGAGGATAAGGAGGAGGTGCAGGATCACTTGAAGACTCGCTTGGACAGCAGTATGGCATGCCCCCTTAACGTGGCTGGCCGAATTCGTATGGCATGCCCCCTTCACGTGGCTGATCGAATTTTGAATCCGGCCAACTAGGCGGAGGGGATTTCCCTTAGAGATGCCGAGTGCACCAGGGTGGTGAAGGCGTGGTTGACGTGCACGAAGACCTTCATCGACAAGTACTCGAAGAATTCCAAGAAGGGGTCGTCGAAGAGTTTGCAAGAGGGGATGTTGGCTTACATTAACAGTGAGAAGAGCTTCGGGACAGAGGAGGAGCGGGATATGAGGAGCTGCAAGAGGGGAAGGGGGACATGCTGGCGTGGTGGCAGCATCACGACTTTGAGTATGCCGACCTGGCTGGCCTTGTGTGCCGTGTGTTGTCCGAGCCCGTTTCTGCCGCCTCGTGCGAGCGGAACTGGGTTGTTTAGGATGGCATGTATACGACACGCAGGAACAGGCTCGGGTCAGAGAAGGTGCGCGACCTTGTGTTCGTTGCGCACAACTAGAATGTTGTACACAACCACCACAAGGCCGCGGCTGTTGCAGGGTCTAGTGGGGAGGGAAGGAGAGGGGCGGGGGGGGAGGGGGAGGGATCATGGAAGGGAACATTCCCACCCCCTTCCGCCTCGAGGGGTACAAGTTGGAGGAGGATAGGGAGGTGGAGGTAGATGAGGACGACGTGCGTGTGGATGAGTACGAGCAGGAGGGCGAGCACGGCGATGAGAGCGAGATGGTGTGATTGTTGTAGTATGTTTATTGCTAGAGTGCTTAAGCAAATACTGGACCAATTATGACTTTTGGGAAACTTATATCATGGGATATATTTTTTTCTTAAATGTATGCTATATATCCTTCTCCCCTCCTCCCCATGCCCTATGTGGGGTTTTTTTTGCTTGCTCGTACGCTTTTTTTACCTTGCCCAGCCCTGCGTCTTTTAAGCGTCTCAGGGAGACGTAAAACTAAGTCCTGCGTCTAAGACCCTCACGCAAGACGCATCTTTCTCCACATAGCTCTTGGCCACAAACTACTCATGCAGCTGGAGACTATCTAGCCCAACCTCGATCAATCAAAGATCTGAAAAATCTTTTGAAAACACGAACAAAAAAACTCTAAAATATACGCTTTTGTTCAATGAGATGTTTTTCAAGCACATCTCGAATGTTTCCGCTTCACTGTCCCTTGCCCCGTTCCACATGAACATCTGTGACTACCAGAGATTATTAAAGTTGGACACCTTAGCTGTTATGTTGTGTCAGCAGAGGGCGAGAAAATTGTTCTTGTTAATATTTATTTATTAATAATGCATTTAACTCATGGGTGTTGTTGTTCTTTGGAGTTTGCAGTTTCCACCATGTCTTCATTTTTCCCAAGAGTACGTTTTAACCAGCTGTTATAGTCTAAGTTGTGCCAAACAAGGTCTAAAGCTCTTGCAAAAAACCAAAGCAAAATTCAAGGGCCAAATCAATGGTTTGAAAAGCCACAATGGGCCAACATGTGTCACAATTGCATGTCCTCATCACACAAATATATCAAGAAAGCGCACCAAGGCATCCTTCCGTAAAGGAACAATGTGCATGAGGAGGCGTAGGATGCAGCTTACATCAATCACTGCATAACCATCCAAACTTTTTGGGGGTGGTAGATGCTTGCATCCCGTTGACGGGCAATGTCATCATTTATCTAAGTTGCACCATTCACTGCATGCCATGCACCCCATACACATGGGCCCTGTTTGATAGGATATAGTTGCGTACCAGGCAACTATTTGGGGTGTAGAGCGTCGCACAAATAGGGACAAATTGCAAGGGAAAAAAAGCGCCGGCAATGCAATCATTGGTGCCGATCATTGCCGGCAACAAAAACGACGGGAAGAAGTGTAATACCTGAACCTCAACGGTGGAACCAGTTCCCACGGTCTGCGTCCGGAATAATGTGCCGCAACAAAATAAATAAGCTAGAAAATATACTGCGTGGTTCATTTCGGTTCCAGCCCACGTGAACTGTGATGCATGGAATTGGCATGCTAGCAGCAATTTCGGTTCCTGCCTTCCCTGTTCGCACTGGTCGTCGCGTTCCTCGTCTTCGTCCTCTTCCTGTCCCCGCCACACACGCTATGACACTTCGTCCTTCCTCTGTTCCTCTACGTGTTCCTCTGCCACCTCCTCCTGAGTCCTCTCTTCCTGCTGTCCTTGACCCTGAGTCTGACCTTGCTCGTGCTACTAGTCCCACTGTCTCTCGTCTCCTCGCCACTGTAGTCACTGACCCTTCCTTTGAGTCCACAGCTGCGTCTGCACTGGATGCTGAGCTCGTTGACTTTGCTGCTGCCTCTCGGCTAGACTATGCCACTGCTCTTGTTGCTGAGTCTGAGTCTGCCAGTCCTCCGTCCGTCAAGGATGAGTGTGCTCTTGGCACGGACGTCCTTGAGGACGGGCAGGAGGACTTTGAGTGTCTTGCAGCTGCTGTACCTCGTTTCGCTTCCATGCTGCTTGCCCCTGAGGGAGACCCGGATGCACCGGACATCCCGACCCCGTGCTCTTACGCAGAGGCGATTACGGGTCCTTAATCCTCTCAGTGGCAGGCAGCCATGAATGCCGAAATGGCATCCTGGAGGTCCACAGGCACATACGTCGATGTTGTTCCCCCGTCTCGGGCGAACATAGTCAATGGCATGTGGATTTTCAGGGTGAAGCGGCCGCCGGGTTCTTCGCCTGCCTTCAAGGCGCGTTACGTTGCTCGAGGCTTCAGACAGCGACAGGGGGTCGACTACTTCCAGACCTTCTCCCCCACCTCGAAGATGACTACTCTTCGGGTGTTGCTGCACGTCGCTTCTCAGCGTGACTACGAGTTACACTCTCTGGACTTCAGTACAGCTTTCTTGCAGGGCAGCCTGCACGAGGAGATCTGGCTGCGCCGCCCACCTGGCTTCACTGTGTCGTCACCTGCAGGTACCCTGTGAAGCATCCGGGGCCCAGTCTACGGTCTCCGCCAGGCGCCTCGCGAGTGGCACGACATACTGAGGACTACACTTGCGGCTCTGGGGTTTGCTCCTTCTACTACTGACCCGTCGCTGTTTCTACGCACCGACACGTCGCTGCCGCCGTTCTACGTCCTAGTGTACGTCGACGACCTCGTCTTTGCAACTGCTGACACTGAGTTACTGACCCTTGTGAAGTCGGAGCTGCAGAAGAGACACACTTGCACTGACCTGGGTGAGCTGCGCAGCTATCTTGGCTTGCAGATCACCCAGGACAGAGCACGGCGTGCCATCACATTGACTCAGTCACACATGGTACACCAGATCCTTCAGCGCTTTGGCTTCCAGTTCTCCTCGCCACATCCCACTCCTCTGTCTACCGGCCACTCGCTCTCAGCTCCACCTTCGGACGAGTCCGTAGAGCCGAGTGGTCCGTACCCAGAGCTTGTGGGTTGCCTCATGTACCTGATGACGTACACACGACTTGACCTCGCGTACCCTCTCAGCCTCCTGGCTCGCTACGTGGCTCCCGGTAGGCACCGAAAGGTGCACTGGGATGCTGCGAAGAGGGTACTGCGTTACTTGTGCAGTACGTCGGGCATGGGGCTCGTGCTTGGAGGACGGGGTCCAGTTGTCCTCATTGGCCACGCAGACGCTTCTTGGGTTGACGACTCAGCTACGCAGCGGTCGTCACAGGGTTACACCTTCAGCCTCGGTTCCGGCTCTGTTTCCTGGCGGTCTACCCGCTCGTCTTCGGTTCTCAGCTCCAGTTGTGAGGCTGAGATCTACGCCGGGGCCATGGCTGCACACGAGCTACGCTAGCTCACCTGCCTGCTGACTAACTTGGCCGAGCAGCCTCGTTCGCCTCCAGTTCTGTACGTAGACAACAAGGCCATGATTGCGTTGTGTCAGGAGCAATGAACAAAGCACATCACTCTGCAATAATTCCTTGCTCGAGAGTTGCAGCAGCGTAGCCAGCTTTGTCTTGCGTACGTGGCCACTAGGGCCAACACTGCTGATATATTCACCAAGGCAATTCCGCCTGGTGATCATCAGCGCTTCTCTACTGTGTTAGGCCTTGTGCCTACTTTGCCTCACTTGCTCACTGCGTGACTTTGCTCTAAAAAAAAAAAAAAAAAAAAAAAAAAAATCGTGGTGGGCCCTAAAAAAAAGAACGTTCCCACGAGGGAACCTGCTCAGAATACCATGTTTTAATAAGGAAGGAATGAATGACTGAACTAGCAAGCATGTGGGTATAAGTAGGAAACCTAAAAGTGTTGTACCCTATATGAACTACCCCACTACAGCCTAGATAGACTATAGCATATAAGTTTGACAAAGGCGTGGCAGAACGGATGAACAGAACTCTCCAGAACACCATGCGCAAACTGTTGCGTGGCATGCGACTGCCCAGCCACCAGTGGTCTGAGGCGATGGACCACGCTGTCATGCTGCACAACTTGCTCTCGTCATCATCGCTCCCGAACAACGCATCGCTGTGGACAGGAAAACTGGGCAACACAAAAATGTTACGAGTCTTTGGGTGCATGGTACAGTACCGACCGCACACTGCAAGAGCCGGAAGATTTTCACAACGCGCACAGTGGGGGCTACACCTGGGCATTGAAAAGCATTACAACGCATGGAAGATTTTCGATGTCCACTCGAAGGAAACAGTAGCAGCACGTGATGTCATTTTCTACGAGCGACTCACACTTCAAACGTACTTGGACAACCTAGCAGCAAATCGAGACCTCACGGGTGGCTTCCGTGGCAACCGAGCCTTCGCTTCAGCAGCAGACGAAGCTGATTGGGACGAGCAGAACGTGGACGGAGCTTCGGAGGAAGCCGGACCTCTCCCGTATTGCTCAGTGGACATCCCCATGGACAACGATAACCCTCGTGAAAGTGTCAACGCCGAAACCTACTTTGACTTCGCTGACACCAGTTACATTACACCCCAACCGGTCGACACCAACGTCTCCGAACGCATAGGACCCAACTTCCTCCCAGATCCAGAAGCGGGAGATGAAGCAGCTTATCCCAAGGACGCAAATCTCCCCCGCTACACACAGAGTGGACTGCAGATACTGGGACTCGTCACCCCTGTCCACGGAGCAGCACCGCCTAAGGAGCCTGCCAACATTCAGCACGCTCTGGGGGGGGAACACAGGGAAAAATGGCGCGAAGCCATGGATAGAGGGTTAAAGGCGCTGCGAGAACGCAACACCTGGAAAGTCGTGCCTATCGGAGTGGCACGCAACAAGACCATTCTCACGGGAAAATGGGTTTTCCGCATGAAAACAAAAGCCGACGGAACAATCGACAAATTCAAGGCACGCTGGGTCGTGCATGGCTTCGACCAAGAGCAAGGACGAGACTTCACGGAAACATTTGCACCAGTTAGCCGACATACCTCACTGCGGATTCTCCTTGCGATAGCCGCCATGAACCGGAAGAAACTTCGACAAATCGACGTCGCCAACGCATTCCTCTACGCCCCCGTCGATGCTGAGATCTTCGTTGAACTCCCGCACGGGTCAAACGCAGACCCCAACCAAGTCTGTCAGCTGGAAAAGTCGTTGTATGGGATCAAACAAGCCCCGAGACTGTGGCAGCAGCATCTTCACGACCGCCTAATCCGCATCAGATTCCTCCAACTACCGCACGACCAAGGGATGTACCGACTCACTAAGGGGACTGACTACATCCTACTCATCGTCTACGTAGACGACCTCCTCTACATAGGCTCCACCAACGACATAACGACCTGGTTTGAAGGGGAGATGCACCGGGATCTCACACTCACCGACGCGACTACCGTGACACAGTACCTTGGACTCAACATACAAGACGGCGACAACGCAATCTACCTCAGCGCCGAAAAATACACGGACACCATCGCTAAACGATTCAGACTTACTCCAACTGCCATCACCACGCCATACCGCTACACCGACGGAAATCGCAAAGTCTCCGCCCTACTCAAACCCGCCGGCATTCGCGACTACCAACGAAAGTTAGGCTGTCTACTCTTCGCAGCCGTTACCTGCCGACCGGATTTATCTTACTCAGCTATTCAACTCGCTACCTACCTCAAGAAGCCTGAAGCAGAGCACATGACGGAGCTCGACTGTGCACTTCACTACCTCGTCAGCACCCCAACGATCGGACTAACCTACCACAAGACCGGAACTACGACACCTAAGTTAATCGGCTACGTCGACGCGGATCACGCTGGAGACTCCGACAACAGACGATCTCGAACTGGCTACATCTACCGACTCGAACCTATCGGCCCTATCTCATGGCAGTCGAACAAGCAAGAGATAATCGCTCTCTCCTCAGCTGAAGCAGAATACATCGCACTCTGCTCAGCCACCAAGGAAGGACTAAATCTTCGCGAATTGCTGGAAGAAGCAAAATTGGCTCAGTTACCCAGCTTCTCCCTCTTCTGCGACAATCAATCGGCCATTCGCATAGCGAACAAAAATGGGTCCGCGAATCAAACGAAGCACATCGCCCTCCGGTACTTCTTCGTGAAAGACGAAATCGAGAAGGGAAGACTCGAGTTATCCTACTGTCCCACATCCGAGATGGCAGCCGACTACTTGACCAAGAAACTCGGAAAAACAGAAGTTCGAGTACTGCATGCTGCTGACTGGACAAGGACACGTCATCAGCAGCGACACTCCAGAGCGAAGGGGAGTGTTGGAAACAAATAACTTCACGCTTCTGAAGTAATCGAAGTATCGACACAAAACGGAGCAGACTACAAGCGAAACAACACGCGAGTCAATAAAAGCAACTGCTGGAGGTTACGCAAAGGTCAAAGGTCGCTGACCTTTGACCTGACGAAAAATGCAGTGCGACAGCAAGGACACATAACTGACTCGATACTGAGCAGTTACCCGAGTCGTCACTGTATCGAACCGCAACAGCAGAAACAGTTAAAATAGGATCTTTCATATTCCTCTGTCATCATATAAACGCTTTGTATTCCCGTGCTATCATCAACTTATCTTGTTCTCACACACCAGTGCAAGGTGGTTCAAGTAAATCTTCATTAAACACTTCCGCAACTACAACATTCCTACTTCAACTAGATCTTAGCCTTGAAAGATCCTAAGGGCTATTTCTCAGCCCAACAGTTCTCCCCCACCTTGCCTATGGGGCAGGGCCTCAGATTGCAGGAATTTTACCCTGATTTCCTGAAGTTTGACCCCGGTTTTTTAAAATGACCCTGATCAATCAGCCTTTCTTGTTTTACAACCCTGATGAATCAGTGTTTTTTGTTTTCAAAGATTGAATTTCCAGTGTTTCCTGTTTCATGACACTGACGAGTCAGTGTTGTATCGGAGACGACCCTGAAACCGAAAACTCCGAGATTCTCGCAGTTTTGCGCGCCGTTATCATGCCTGTACCCACCCTGCACCGACGCAACCCTGCGGCTCGCCCAGATACAGCTGAACGGGGAAATTTCGGGCACTTTTGGCAAAACGGCGCAAAGAGATTGGCTGTCCCAGCTGATGCAATATACCGTTGTCACTGTGGATAACCAACACTTGTCATTTCTGGCCATTGATGCGCACAAACACACCTAGTGGCCCAGTGGGCTAGTGGTCGCTCTTGTCCTTTTCACCAAGGCAGGGAGTTCTGGGGCAATCCGCCCAGCCACCCCACGCAGGGGTCTCGTGATTCTGTCATTCGAGCTCTCCAGACTCCACCATCCCTTACAGAAACATCCATCTCTGCAGTCTCCCTGAAGCCTGCTCGGCAGGCTCTCTCTCTCCCGGGGTTTCTAGATACTACTCTGCGATTCAGGAAGGGATAGTGAACGCGCCATGGCGATCACCTGTGAGAACAGCAGCGGTGATGATGACGACGATGCCCTCTACCCCGCCACCGAGATGCTGGAGGCCAGAACGGGTCTAGACTTTCTAGTCTCCGCGCTCTCCCATGAAAAAGAGAAGCAAGCTCCTCTCACTTCAGGAGCATACACTGGTGAAGCGTCTGACCTCTCCCGCGGAGACGATCGCTTCCAGCCCGCGCATACTGCCAAGCCGGCCGTGGCGTCAGCAGCTGGCCCGAGCGTCCGCTTGCCATCTCGTGCCTCGTCGTCGAAGCCTCCGCCTCGTTACAAGCAGGCCGTGCTCCGCTGAGCCGATCCAACCGCTCCTGCCCGTCCTCTCGCTGATGCCGGTGAGTCGGTAAACCCCGTTTCGGCCACTCCATCCAACTCTCAAAAGCCGTCACTAACCACTCTGATTTACGAGGATGCGTTGGACTCGTTCAAGTCCACGTGGTCGTCAGACTACCCATGGCTCATACTCATCAAAAACACTTCTGGTCTGCCTGCGTTCAAGTGCAGATTGTGCATAGACTTTGCAGGTGACGGTGGCAAGTGTGGCAAGAGTGGGCACGATGCAACCGATCTTCAGACCCATGTGCTGTGTCCTGCAGTAGATAGATTAGAAGTTCATTAGAACAGTATTCTGATTTAACTTATTTTAGTTGTTAGTGGTTGTGGATTCCAAGCGTCAGTGTTTTTTTATGACTCACGCTGTTTAATCAGTGTTTTTTTTTTAACAACACTGACAAATCAGTGTTTCCCCACGGGCAACCCTGATGATCAGTGTTACAGCCCCAAGGGTCCCTGAGTGCTCAGGGTCACCCAAAACGAATCTGAGGAACAGCTATGGGGGTGTGTCAATTAGTTAGAATGCTTATATTGTGTAAGCTATAGTGGGGTAGCCCATAAGGGGTACAACCCAATTAGGGTTAGTACTTGTACCAACTTTCTGTTCAATGCATTCATTCTCGTTCTTTAGTTTTGACAGCTTGCTGCTTCCTCCTTTCCGAGTAAAGCTTGCACTGCCTAGTACTGATTTTGGATCTTACAGACATACTATGTGCGTATGTGGCAATTATGACAATCTGTAACTTATGTGTGCAGATCATACCGGACCTACATTTGAGGACATTGAACAAGGACATTCCCTAAACTAGTGAACGGACAACACGCAGGTATGCAGGCCTTCAGCTTTAGAGCACCAACGTGCAGGCTCATCGAGATGAAGGTATTAGTAGCGAGGTATTTGTGCGAAGGAGTATCCTGGGGCTTGTCTCCACGAATAATACGCAATGCGGCTCTCATAAAAGCCTGCAATATTGGCACGGGGATGAAGAAAAAACCAAGGGCAGAAAAAAAGGAGGAACGAATGATGCCAGTCTTATTGAGTGAAGGGGGGGATCGGAGGAGTCGAGGAGCAGACACAGAAACAGAGGTTTGGGTGATAAAGACAGCTACACAGTGGCAGGCAAAGGCACAGAATTCGTTGGTCACTGAAAGGGTGAAACCCAGAGGCGATGCATGCACCCAGAGGCGATGCATGCAAGTAAATGCTTCAGCTGATGCAGTGACTAAATCATGATTTGAGTCGTCTTTAGGAACTATCCGAAGCGGCTCAGATGTGAATGGGACAGAGTGGGGGTGACTAGTGAAACGCCAACGACACGCTATGCGGAGTGAGAGAAAGGGGTGGAGTGGAAGTGGAATAGGGGGTACTGAAATCAGAGCTCTAATGATTGCGTGCACGGACAACGTGAGGGCTGAGTTGTGCTAGTACATATATACATATATATGACAGAATGACGAATGAATCTGAGGAACGTTTCAGCAAACAACAGCAGCAGCACAGCAACAGCAATGGTGACAACACTGAACAGGGAAAGTTAAGGCAAGCCATGTGGCTTGGTGGATACGCCAGCAATAGGTGAGGGGTCGTTAGGCCAAACGAGAGAGGGATGCCATACTAGAGTAGTGGTGGGAGGTTGTAGAAGTCTGGCGAGAGAAAAGGCGAGTGAGTGACGGAGAGGTGAGGATGGTGGACAGGCATGAGGAAGGCTCACCGGGCATGAGCGTGAGGAAGGCGATGGCGAGGCACGTCCACTTCTGCTGCCCGCCAGCCTCCACTTGGCCCGTCTGCATGAGGTAGAACGTTGCTAGCGACGCGCACCCCAGGAACAGCAGGAACAGCGCGAGAAGCACCGATCGCTTTGGTACGCGTCTGTGGATGTCCGGACCAGCGAAGCGGATATCCGCATCATTGGAGCCTCGCGCTCTTCCTGCGATTGGCGGAGGAGCTGCGGATGCGTTCGAGGCGAAGTCGGGAGCAGCTTCGGAGTCTGACGTCGGGACACGCGCATACCTCACGTGGGGTTGGGAGGCCATGGTTACTAACTGCAGACGGTAGGGACACTCAGAGGGGGATCACAGGGATGGGATGAGAAGTATGTGAAAGGGAGGAGACGTTAGGGAAACTCAGAGGGGGAACATGACGCAGAGAGAATGAAAGGGGATACACGAGCCATGCTGAATGTTAGGGGGTGTTTTGAGGCCGGGAGAATGAAACGGGGGCCTTGAGGGCCGTAGGCATTGAAAGGGAGCACACGGTATGGAAATTCAGAGGTGCCCACGTTGCAGGTAAAATGAAAGGGGGCCCCACAAGGTATGGAAAAAGAAAGCGGGAATACGAAGCAGGGAGATTGAAAGGGGGGATGAGGAGGCTAGGAGGAGTGAATGCTGCCAGGTGCGTGCAGATGGGAGAATGCGGCAAGGGCGTGCGGAGTGGAGAATGATGAAGGGCGCGTGCGAATGGCTGAATGCGGCTGGGCGCGTGCCTATCCCATACTGCGGGAATGCGGATACGGATGGGAGAATGCGGCACGGCGCATGCACACGGGAGGCGCGGACGGAAAGGAGGGGATTGGAAACTAGGAGGGAAAAGAGTGGGTGGGAGACGAAGGGAGTAAGGTCCCATGGGTAGTCGCCGACGGAATGGTGCGGCGTCGAAAAGAGCAGGTGAAGGCCGGGGAGGTAGACGAGGGGAGGAAGGAGGGCATGGGTGTCCCTCTCGGAATGGTGTGAAACAGACTCGAGCAGGGAAAGGCGGGTGTTTGCGCCGAAATCAGGTAGGAAAATATTTAGACATGGAGAGGAAGGAGCAAACGCGATTCGGATGGTAATGCGTGTTCGCCCAACTCCGTGAATGCGGCCTGCATGTCGTTACACGGCCCTGCCCTTTATGCAGGTGCGCGAAATGGGCTGGTGCTGAGGTTCCGTTATAAAATTGTTATTTCCTCTCACCTGCGCGTCACGGTATGTGTCTCTCTCGGGAATGTCAGGAAGGTCTCGCTCGGGCCAAATGTGACGGGATGTGTACGCTGATGTGTTCACGTCGGCGTGGACATGGGCCAATCAAGGGCTGGTATGTCCGCTATCCCCAACCGTTGCGCGACTAACCCTAATCCGACAAAACCGCGTGGCCTTAGTAATGTAGTGACCTAAATTGGCGGCAGAGGCTATTATGCTCGACGTCGCGCTGTGACAATGTCGGCTATTATGCTCGACGTCGTGGTTGATGGATTTTTCAAAATCCAGAGAGTGTCGCTGCTACAGTGGTATCGGGTGGCGACATTTTGCCGAGAAGCATTCCACGTGATTCAGCGGCCTGGATGTCAACAGGGTAACACCCAACCAGCACGTTCGCCCTTCGTTCGTCTTTGTGGTTACTCTGCGAAGAGGTGAAGCTTGAGAACCGCTGTGCACCGTCTGGCATCGTCTTGCGCCACGACGGATGAACTGAAAACGAACTTGCTAGACCTGCCATTGGGAAGATTGAACCGATACAAGACACAGTTGCGCCCGTGAACAGTGTTGTGCGCGGTGAAGTCGTGTTATGAGTTGTAAAAGAGAGTGCGCAGTTTAACGAATAACGAGAAGTGATTGAACATACTGTTTATAAAATGAAGGTACATGCTTATATAGTGAGTAGGCTAGCTAGGAGGGAACTTCGGGTGAGTGAGGTTGGGTGCAGGTTTGGCGAAGAGGAAAGCCGAAGGCGACGCGAGGAGGCTCGGCATCGTTGATGTCGGCCAAACGTGCAGAGTCTGAAAATCGGGGCTGTACGCAAAGCAGTCAACCCCGATAAGGAATTCGGGAAAATTCCTTACACTACCCCCCCCTTTAAGCCAGGTGGTCAATATCCGCGGCACGCTTGCGGGCGAGATAATCAACAACAAGCGAGGAGTCTGCAAGCGAAGCGGATGGTACCCACGTGTCGTCCTCACTGGTGCGGTCAGTCCAGCGAATTAAAAAATCCACGTGGCGGCTGGCGGCATCCAGGCGAACACGATGCGCCAAGATCTTGGACGGGTCAAGGTATCAGAAACAGCAGTTGAAAGTTAGAAACAAGAAAGAGGGGTTTCACTAGCAGGCAGTTGAGTACATATAGGAAACCCTAAATTGGGCTGTACTCGCTATTGAGTACCCCACTGCAGGCTAGACAAATATAACATTCTGACACACCCCCATAGTCAAAGTGGGGTATGATCAGCACAACAAGCAAAGCAAAGCAAGCTCAGGGTGGATCACGACGTCACCACACAATCTGAGCACAAGTACAAGGAGCAGCAGTTTATAGTTCACAAATATAAGCAAAGCTAGAGGTAGTCACAGACGGTAAGTGAGAAGGGGGAGGGACTGTGAGAGGAGAGGAGATAGGAGACGACGGGAGAAGCAGTAGATACACGGGCAACAGGAGCGGCGCGCACTGTGGCTACCGGAGATTGTAGCCTCCGGACTACTGGAGTAACTGGCTCTGCGGCTAACTCTGAGCGGTAGGAGCAACGGACCCACGGGCGACTGGCGCAGCAGGCTCGCTGGGCTACCGGAGATTGTAGCCTCCGGACTACTGGCGCTGCTGACGACACAACGGCTACCTCCCTTCAACCTCCCCCACTGTCGCACCCCCCTTTCACACACCCCCTGCTGCACCTCTAACACTACTCACACTCCACCCCCTAGTACCACTCCGTCGGCTCCCACATACCCACCCCCCTCAGCGGCAGCTGCAGCAGTGGGAGACGGAGGAGGAGGAGGAGCAGGGGAGGCCGCACACACCCTTCACCCCCATACTCGCCACCCCCAAACCCCAACACAGGGCAGGGCCGCAGCAGGGGCGGCATCAGGGCAGGGCCGCGACGAAGACGGGGGCAGGGCCTGTCAGATATATATGCCTTAGCCTGTGTAGGCTGTAGTGGGGTAGACACTAAGGGGTACAGGTTTCATATTTGTATCTCACACTTTCCTAGTTCATCTCATTCCTGTTTCTTCACATAGTAAAGAGCGGGTTCCCTCATGGGACCGTTCCTTCCTAAGGGCCCACCATAAGATTTTTTTTTTTTTAAGCTGCCCGAAGCGAGTCTCGCGCCCTGCCCTAATTTTTTTTTCGCGGCCCCTACGTGGCCCCTTCGTCGCCTAGCGCGCCCCTACGCGGCCCCTACACGGCCCCTACGCCGCCCCTAACGGCCCCGTCGCCTAGCGCGCCCCTCACGGCCCCGTCGCCTAGCGTGCCCCTACGCGGCCCCGGCGCCTAGCGCGCCCCTACGCGACCCCTGACGCGGCCCCTACGCGGCCCCTACGCGGCTCCTGCGCCGCCCCTACGCGGCCCCGTACCTGACGCGGCCCCGTACCTGACGCGGCCCCGTACCTGACGCGGCCCTGCCCCTACGCGGCCCCTACGCGGCCCCTACGCGGCCCCTACTCGGCCCCTACGCGGCCCCTACGCGGCCCCTACGCCGCCCCTACACGGCCCCGTCGCGGCCCCGTACCTGACGCGGCCCCTACACGGCCCCTCCGCGGCTCCTGCGCCGCCCCTACGCGGCCCCTACGCGGCCCGTACGCGGCCTCTACGCCGCCCCCTACCTGACCTGCCTCGGCCCCGTCCCGGACCTGCCCCGGCCCCGACCCTGTCCCGGACCTACTCCGGCCCTGTCGCGGCCCTGTCCAGGACCTGCCCCGGCCCCGACCCTGTCCCGGCCCCGTTGCTGCCCCGTCCCGGACCCTGCTCGGCCCCGACCCTGTCCCGGCCCTGTCACGGCCCCTACCCAGTCCCGGACCTGTCGCAGCCCTGCCCCGGCCCTCCCTCGACTCTGCCCCTGGTAAGAGCGTAGCAAGGCCGAGCCGCCCTGCTTTCCCGAGCCGCACTGCTTTGCCGAGCCGCCCGGCCGAGTCGCGCTGTCCTACCTAGCTCAGTTGCACTGCTGCCACTGCTAGTCTGCTGCTGCTCCTATCATGGCTAGTCCTAGTCTTCTTACCTTTGATGCTGAGGGTCGAGCGGTTGACTTCGATGTCTGGCTAGATGATCTGCAGCTTTTCCAACAGTGCGATAGCAAGGATGGTCTCTCCCTGTTCGATCTGGCGCCTCTACTGCCCCTGATGCTGATGCTGACAGTACTGTTCGCTCGCAGTGGCTCACGCGCGATGCTGCTGCCCGCCTTGCTGTGCGTAGTCACCTACCGTCTACTGAGCGCGCGCACTTTAGTCAGTACAAGAGTACTAAGACTCTGTACGACGCTGTAGTTGCACGCTACTCTTCCCCTGCCACTGCTGCGCTTAGCCGCCTCATGCTACCGTACCTGTTCCCTGACCTCGCCGCTTTTGCCACAGTCACTGACCTCATTACGCACCTCCGCACTAGTGACACTCGCTACCGCGCTGCGCTTCCTGCTGAGTTCTGCGCCCAGAACCCCCCCCCCCCATGTACATCACCCTCTACTACCTAGTCACTCGACTCCCTGACACTCTTCGCTCGGTCAGGGACCACTTCCTCTCTCTTTGCCCTACCACCCTCACTGTCGACCTCCTCGAGGAGCGCCTCCTTGCAGCAAAGACTAGTATTACCGCTGTAGGAGCCTCTCGTGGTGACCCCCGTACCCCTTTCTTTGAGGGGTGCTCCCCCGTTCCTCTTTTGCCCTCCGTTGCCTCTGCTGCTGCTGTCGACCTTGTTGGCACCGAGTCGGTCAGCGCTGCGTCTGCTCCTAGTGAGAGGCGCCGCACCAGCAAGGGCAAGCGGGGCAAGGGCGCTGGAGGAGGTGGTGGGGGCGGCGGTAGTGGCGGTGGAGGCGGAGGAGGGGGTTGGGGTGGGAGTGGTGGCAGAGGTGGGGGCTTCGGTGGCAGCGGTGGAGGTGGAGGCGGCGGTGGCGGTGGCGGGAGGGGTGGAGGAGGCGGAGGCGGCGGCGGCGGAGATGGAGCTGGCAGAGGCAGAGCTGTGCAGCGGGGACCCCAGCAGCAGCACCGCTCTCGTGAGACCCCGTTGCCCCAGCAGCTTCGTGAGTGGTACGCGGGGCGCCAGGGGTCTGGGGGTGCTGGTCCCTGTACTTATGTCCTGCGCACCGGCGACCGCACTGGAGAGCAGTGTGGCGGCCTGCACGCCACCCAGCGCTGCTTCGGTCGCCTGACTGACGCCTGGCGTGCCCAGTTCCCGGACGCCACTGAGATCCCTCGTTGGGGTGATCTGCTCAAGTCGGGTGTAGCTATCTTTGATCTTGACTTTGATGCTATTCTTGCTGCCATGTATGCTGTGTCTATTAGTGCTGAGGGTGACTGTTACGTGTGTGTTCCGCCTGACCCTGGTATTGAGGCTGCTGCTCTAGGTGCTCGTGAGTCTGCTGCTCCAGGTGCTAGTGAGTCTGCTGCTCTAGGTGCTGGTGAGTCTGCTCTCTCAGGTACCGCGTCGGCTCAGCTCTTGCACACCTTCACCCTCGACTCGGGTGCCTCCCGCTCCTTCTTTCGAGACAGCACCACCCTTACGCCGCTCAGTCGGCTGGTTGCGGTCTCCCTGGCAGACCCCTCTGGGGGTCCTGTTCTTGCTCGCTACTCCACTGTCCTCCCGTGTCCCGCGGCACCGTCCGGCTCCCTGTCTGGTCTCTACCTCCCCTCGTTCTCTACGAACTTGGTGAGTGGTGCTGACCTTCAGGA